AGAGAGAGAGAGAGACAGAGAGAGAGAGCGAGCGAAAGAGAGCGCCGATAGGAGAGCGTCGAGGGACGGCCAGAGCGGAGCCTCAGTCCAACCGATTCGAGCGAGCCCAAGCGCGCCGCCTGTGCTTACCACTACTCGACCGACACCACCATCCCCCACCATCATTGTCGCTCGATCCGGTCGCACAACATGCCGCCGCCATCATCCGAGCCCGTGCACAAGGGCACGCTCGTCTGCGTCGTCCTCAAGGCGCGCAACCTGCCCAACAAGAAGTCCATCGGCAAGCAGGATCCCTACACCGTCCTCACCATGGGCACCGAACAGCAAAAGACCAAGCCCGACAAGCGCGGCGGTCAACATCCCACCTGGGACGAGCAGCTCCACTTTGAGATCTACGAGGACATGGAAGACGCCCTCGCAAAGGCCTCCAACACCGGCTCCGGCTCCGCCGCCAAGTCCGCCGCCTCCTCCGCCACAGACAAGCTCAAGGGCGGCAAAAAGGTGCTCAAGGTGGCCTGCTACGCCGACGACAGCAAGGAGCCCGAGTTCATCGGCGACGGCATCGTCGACCTCACAGACACGCTCAAGACCGGCGAGTTCGACGAGTGGGTCACCATCAAGGCAAAGGACCGCTATGCCGGCGAAGTCTACCTCGAGCTCACCTTCTACTCGTCCGCCGCGCCTCCCAAGAAGCGCAAGCCCACCAGCAAACCCGTCCTTTCCGGCACAGACACTTACGGCGGCGCAGGCACCTTTCAGCGCATCGACGACCTCGCCGATTCAGCAGCTCCACCCAAGCCACCCAAGGGCAAGACCGACCATCCTCCCATCCCTGCCTCCATGCGGCCCGGCGGCGGCGCTGCTGCTGCTGCTGCTGCTGCATCCGCTGCCAACTCGCACGGTCGCATGTCCAGCAGCATGTCTACCTCCAGCCTCGCTTCCTCCCTCCACAGACCCGCCGGCTCCTTGTCGCACTCACAGACCATGCATGACCTCGGCGCAGGCACCATCCGCCCCGGCTCGTCGCTCGCAAACCTCGACGCCTACACCCCCGCCTACGCTCCCGCCAGCATCTCGCGCTCCACCAGCCCCGTACCGCCTTCGTCCGCCTACCACTCGGCTGCGCCCTCGCACGCCTCTCACGCCTCGCACGCCTCGCACGCCTCGCACGCCTCGCACGCCTCGCACGCCTCGCAC